CATGTCTTGTTGTCCTCTAATGCACAACATTACATTACATTACATGTACATTTAATACAACCACCAGCAACTTCCTTCAAGTTTTATAGAAAGTACATTTTGTCTTAAGATAATCCACCTTGCAATTTTCTCCTGAACTTGCTCCATATCCTTCTCCATTGTATCTATTTCCTGAGGAATAAAAAACTTGTGTAAATGAAAACAATGCATTAACCCAATCTGCCATTTAACACAATGTTACCTGATGTCCTAGTGTTAGATCCCAAATTATTGTTTCAGCCTACTAAAATGATTCAAATCTGATCTAGATGATGTGAGATTAATTGACAATAGTTCAGTTTCGAGTTCACTATGACGGCTGAATAAAAGAAGTGAAGACACATTCTTTACAGGCTTATCCTCCAGCTGAGGTAAATATATTCACAAATTCCAATGAGAAAAAGACCCTTACTTGCCGGAATTTGTGAATAATTTACTCTATGTTGAGACCAACCCTGTATGAATGTGTCGTTTATTTTTTCTGTATTCAGTGGTAATTTTTAATTCAAAACTGGACCATTGCCTGGCCCTTAAAAAGGCAGTAGTTAAGGCCCTGTCCACACACATCTAGGTATTGTTCATTATACAACCAGCGCATGCATTTCTTTGCTGCTAAAACATTTGCACTAAGTCTCTAACCCTTAAAAAACAGAGTGTACCGCTGTAGCATCATTGCTGTCACAAAGGGCCGGGGGCCGGGGATTTCCCCTGGCTTTTTTGTAGGAAACAAAAGGAAAATTAGACCAAAAGGACTCCTTCAAGGGCTGTTCAGTTCCCCACCTACTAACTGCATATACCCGGCAACTTGAAATCTTAGTGACAGCCCTGAGCATTGTACATTAAAAATGTTATTATCCCTATGACACTTGGTGTATGACTTGTATAGGTCATTGAGAAAGGGAAAAGATCTATGGTTCAGGGATCCACAAGGGAGGTAGCAGATAAAGAATTTGATCCTGTGAAATGTGCTGTGAAAATTTTAACTTAAAATGTGATTTGAGAAGCATCATGTGAAATTCATGCTCACCCTGTGAAACGCCCAGTGAAATGTTAGTAGTGAATCTTATTAACTTTACAATACCATGTGAAACCTCAGTCAACCATTTGAAAATACAGTTAACGCTGTAAAATTGTAGTCGACAATGTGAAACCTGCCTGTGATAATTATAAACTAGCTAGTCCACAAGGCCAGCCCCTGTTTCTCCAAGAAAGCTACCTCAAAGGCATTAATAAAGTATTACTTGATACCTCTTGTAAAATTTCTTCTTTTGCCTCCATTTCTTTTATTTCATCTTTGTATTTATTATTTGGCATCATTCCACCCTGTGATAAAAAACAGGACAACATGCTGGATAAAATATATTTACATGTATAATTAAAATGAACCCAGATGGCAGTGACTTGGAAAGCAGAAAACCTGTGAATTGCTGTGAATGTAGAGCTTATGTGCATGATATATCCTTGATAAGTTAAAACTCATGCTATCAAGGACTCTGCACCTGGGATTATTCCTTCTATTACTACCATTATAAATTCTTCTTTTAGTACCACTGGCACTTTTCCTAGAGATTGGAAGATTGCTGAAGTGTCACCAGTCTTGAAAGAGGGTGATTTTGAAGAACCAGGCAACAATAGACCAATTTCTTTGTTACCTATCTTGTCTAAGGTGTGCGAAAAGGCGGTCCTGAATCAGCTAACACCTTACCTGACTAAAAACAAAAGACTAGCGGTGGAACAGAGTGGAAATAAAAAGTGCACTCCACTGAAACTTCTCTTATTGCCTCTACGGACACTATACTTGAGGCAGTCGACAAGAAAGAGCTAACAGCTAAATCGTCTATCTGGATATGAGCAAAGCATTCGATAGCATTAATCACAGCAGTCTCCTGGTTTAACAGCTACTTATCCAAACATTTCAAGTGGTTCGCATTAATGCTGCGCTGTCTGAAGCTCTACCAGTGGTGTGTGGAGTGTCTCAAGGTAGCATGCTCAGAGCCTTGTTATTTAGTATCTACATAAACGACCTGTCAGCAGCCAGTGAGACGTGCTCAAGTGCGTGTTACATTGACGACACAAAACTAATTCTCTCCTTCACCGTAGAGGAATCTCACACCACTGCTGTTAAAAAACAATGATGACCTACAACTAATGCCTGATTGGTGCTTTGAGAACTATCTCCTATTGAACCCGGATGACACAAAGCTCATGGTGTTCGGCAGTCCACAAACGATTTGTAAACCACTAAGCTTTTAAGCTTTCCTGGGCAAGGAACGTTTACTTAGTAAAATACAGACTCCGTTAAAGGCCTGTGACAACTTTTCGTGACAAGAGGCAGCGCTGAACAGAACCGCAGTGTGTTAACGGTTGTTGGCACAGCAAGAACTGCGTCGGCTTTGGATTTTCCAGGTAAATGATTTAATTCGAGCTGATTCTTGTTGTTAAACCTCTGAAACTACTCAGAAAGAACACATCAGTGCATGTTTTTGTCCTTCCACTGATCACCGGTGCTCCAACGCAATTGTTGCTTTCAACATGTGGCACCATCACTTATTCCTGTATTATCTACATTAGTACTACTCTGAAATAACACAAGTGAATTTCCCAAATTAATACACATGAACAATTTACTTCAGAAAACCTATCACAACTGATTTACCAGTGAGCAGATATTTTCGAACCAATTTTACAATATTTTAACATCATTTTAAGCAAGACGTAACCTTTTCTATTCTTTTGGTTTCACTTAAGCCCAACTAACATTTTTAACAGTTATTTAGTCCGCAGTTTTGGTGTGTGAAGTTCTCAGATTTGATCGGCTTAAAAACAATAGGCATTCCTGGCATATTTTAGGTGTTCATGGTTTTCCCAGTGGCACTGTAAAGAGTAATTCGCCACCCATGATATTAATTAAATTGCCTCCCATGGATGTCTGCAGTCAATGTTCAGATCATGATTAAATGAAATATATTGATCAGCTAACCTGTTGTTTTCTCTTTCTACAATGCATCCTCACATTCATAACTACTCTGTCCCTTATCAGCTTCCGTTTTGTTTGGTAGGCTTCATATAACACTTTGACATCTTGGTGATCTCTTGAATTTAAAAAAAGATAAAAAAAATCAGCAGGGTCCACTAAGACCTCATTGAAAACTTTTCTCCATACCAGTGGATAGGGGAATTGGGTGGGGAGGGGAATAGCCAGCTTATACCTTCTAATCTGAGATGGCATCACTGAGTTTAAAAGCTAATAGATGGCATCCCCTTCACTTTTTATCTGAGAGGGGGGGTGGGGCATCGGCAAAACCAGGATCGGCTCACTCCGATTGGATCAGATTTTGGATTTAATAAGATTGCAGATTGGATCACACTGGCGGTTCGTTTGACACCAAATCGTCACTATTCTCAGGGGTTGTCAAAAGTGGGTGGCCGCTGGCGAAAATCGCGGCCTACTTGGCTAGTATCGGTCAGCTACTCTGCTTAGCATTTCTTTACGGATGGCTTTTTAAATCAAGATATCTCCAGACTGGCTGCTTACTTTGACAACTCAGCTGTCTACTTCAAAACTTTCTGACAACCCTGCTATTGTACCTTTCTTACTCATATTCCCACAATTTCTTAATTCATTGTCTTCTCTGAAAAAGGAACTTTTCAATTTAGTCTCAGTGAATAACAAGACCACTTCACAAGAAATGGAAAGAAACACATAATCAGTGCAACAAGATACTCATGGGCTATGTCATGTGAACAAGACTATTTTTGGGATTGAAATCTTATGAAGTTATGCAAAATAAAATTCCTAGTGCAGTAAAAACTAACTCTTTGCGATTTTAAAGCTAGAGGTGAGCTTTAACCCTGGTGATACATGAGAAACAATGTTTTTTATTAGTGACACAGGCAGCTCGCGAGGAAAAATCCAAGTCCTCCCAACAGGAGTTGAACCTATAATTTACTAGTTACTACAGACAACTCTCTCGTAAGCAACTACTCTTGGTGCATGACAAAGTGGTGCAGCATGCAAAGCAAGTCGTGTACGATAGCCCAGGGCTTGTGGATTTTGTCATAGGGCATCTCGGTTGATATATTGACTGATACATTGGTCGAGTGTCGGTCGATATGTCGACTGGTATATCTACTGAGGGGTGTACAAATTACACAATATCCGAGAAATTTAAGTAGTGGTCGCTTATAAAAGAGTTTTTGAAAAAGTATTTGACTGAGAAACAAAACTGTTACTTTGAAAGTGGTCGCTTACAGGAGGTGGTTGCTTACAAGAAGTGGTCGCTATAGGCATGAGGGAGTTGACCGTTGTACAGATGCATATGGACTGGTTCAACTCCCATTGGGAGAACTCTGATTTTTTCATTCCAAGCCACCTGTGTTGCTAATTTAAAAAAATCAGTTCTCATAAGAATTCTTCTGCACTAAAAGTGGAAATAACAGTCTGATCCGATCCGCAATCCAATCCAATCTGGAATCCGATCAAATCCAAGAGATCCGACCCTTGTTTTGTTGAAGGCCAGCAAGAAGAAAAAGGGGAAAAAATTCGCGTTAGATTTGTCTGCGAGGCAGAGGTTTCCAAGCCCCAGCGGAACACGACATCCAAATATTTCCAAGTAACCCCGCCACGTACAACCACGGAGCGGGTGAAGTGGGATGATTTTGGCGCGTATTTTTTTGCAATTTTGGAGCACACGCATTTCGAACTACTTCGTGTTTTTCTCTCCCTAGATTGTTTTCTAAGAATCATTGGCAGTGCTAACAACATTACTCAGGCGATATCTTCCTCAGAATCCACTGAGAACTTTTTAAATGTGTCCTGTGGCGAGCTAATTCGATGCCGTGATGAAGAATAAAGTAACTTACTTGCAATCAAAACCCGCCACTAGCCTTAAGTTTCAAACTCACCGATATTTTCTAGGAAAGAAATCCTTGAATTCGTCTAACGTGTAGCTGTTACTGACCTCTTCACTAAGCAGAGAATCAGTAAGAAGCTTTCTGTACTCACGCTCAGGGAAAGCCGCCATTTTGAAGGGCGCCAAATATCCAACCTACCCACTACCCCTGATCTGAGGAAAGCATAGGCACGCATTACGTGTCTGACGAGTATCAGTTTGCTGAATTTTAAGCATTTTCAATTTTTACGGATAAAGACGAAGATCACTTTTTCAGTTAGTTCCCAAGTCATCACACAAGACAAGACATTATTGAGTTATGCAATGGTCAGGTTAAAACAGCAGCCATTAATCAAGTCTAAAACAACTCTTTTCAACCCCATTATATTATTAAAATGGGCAGGGTCAAGTGCTAGCTTGTTAAAAAAGTTTGAAAAATTCTGTCAAGCCCATCCAGAGCTTTTTGAAAAGCTGAGAAAAATTCAGTAGAAGAGAGGGAATTCAGGAGGAAATCTCAGAAAACTGACATTTGCTATTCATTATATTAAATATAGTGTAAATTGGGAGAATGTTGATGCCCAGGCTTAAAAAAGGATTTTCATGCAGGGTCAACCAAGAAATCACAGTTTTCAAAAGTCATTTCATTGTGCTGATGATCCACATAAATAATAATAGGAGATTTGGTACAACCTACACTGGAGATAAAAAAGTATTCATCTGAAAGTCTCCAAATATGTTTTTCTATATCCCATAAAATAGGACCAAAGGTATTACTGCTAAAGTTGTACTGCAGTTTTAATAATATTTTGTAGTACACACCAACTATTTACATGATCTTATCTCTAAAAGATTATTTACAACAACTTTTTTTCCTACATGTATGTACAGCAAAATTAACCCTTTAAGCCCCAAGATCCACATACAAATTCTCCAGAAAAATCTCCATACATTTCTTTTAAAAACAGTTAAGAGAATTTGGTTTAAGATCAAAGCATTCCCCCTTTGGTAATCAATTTAGTAATTATTCTCATAACCTTTACCCTTAATGATCTCCTTATGTGGTTAGGAGAAAATTGATATTGGTCACTCTTGGGACCTAAAGGGTTAAGTCCAAATAATAAACTAAAACCTGTGATTAAGGTGAATGTCAGTATAATTTCAGATAAAGCAGATTTGATAAAAAAACGTAGGCAAATTTTGTAGATGCGATACACCATTAAACATTATTACAACTGGGTCTCTTAATAGTTTTGTTACACATCCTCAACTACCATCATTGAGACAAAGTCTTTATAAAACACTATTCCTTTATCAGGATCAACTGCTGCAGATAACATTTCCTCCATTTCTTCTTGAGTAAAGGGTTCACCTGTTAAAAAAAGGACAGCTAATTATTGGGCTCAGAACTTCAGAACATATTTTGTAACAATCATACATCAAGGCAGAATAATATGCTGATAAAAATGCTTAAAAGTAGCAACAGAAAAAGAATTAAAGTGAAAACTGAGACCAAAATCACATGGTGTTAATTTCCTATAATAATAATAAGGCATGCACTAATAACAGTAGTAATGATATCAATATATATGAATGTATAAGCCAAGCCTTTTTATTAATGCAGTGAATGAGCACTTACTGACTGTGTGTCTCTGAGAGATGCACCCGTACAAAGAAAGAAAGAAAGTTGTAAATAAAAAAAAAATAAAAAAAGAAAGTTCAAGGCATTTACCATACTAACTACTAGGTCGGCCACAGCCGAGCCTTGAGAAAAGGAAGGATAATGAGGGGAGCAACAAATAAAATCATGACCTTCTTCACTCATATATTTTGTCAGTTCTTCTGTAGTAAGGTATCCTTTATTTTCCTGATCTAGAACCTCAAATGCTTTCATTATTTGATCTTCAGGTGCTGGTTTGTACCTTAAACAAAAACAAAAAGGAAACAAGATGGGTTTAAGTTAAAGCAGCATGATCATATATATAGACATTTCTACTTTCTGAAACCCAAGCCTGTTTTTTCAGGCAGCCCATTCACCTTGCCCGCCCTTTTTTCCATCTTTTTAGCCAAGTAACAGGTGCTTGTTATGTTTTCATTTTTTAATGAGAATTAAGAGGATCTCTTATGACTATGTTGCCACTATTTATTAGCAGCTATTAAGAAGTCCCCATCTGGCTGCCAATGTTCAAAAACTTGAATTTTCTTCTCACTCTTAGGTCTCAAACCTCTTTTCTCTGGCTCTGTTCTTACCATTTTAATCAATATCCCGGTAGCCCCCAGGAGGGGGTACTCTGGATTTCAAGTGACAGGGATGATAGAATGGGGGCAAAAATAAAAACCAAAAAAAGTCCTTTGGGCTTCAAATAAAACCAAAAAAATGCCTGGGCCAAAATTGCAGAATTTCCAAGCCATAAAAATGTCCAGACAACATCAAATAATATAACTATCACAAATCCTCAGGTTGTTTTGAATACCCCCAAAAAATCCCTACTTTAATCAAGCTCCAAAAAAAATAAAATTTAAAGTAAACCAATGTTTATAATAAATTTGCCTCACCTTCTTTCCAGAAGTATTTTTAACATAGCTGGTTCAAATTTTTCAAATCTTATATAACCTGTTGGTTCTTCCTCCTCTACCTAAAATTGAAAGAAAACTTCAGTCCTCACACAATTTAACCATATTAAACCCTAACGGCTGATCAGTCAATTCCAAGCGTGTACATGCCAAACCCTTCCCCCCCTCCCGGGCAATATTGTCGGTCATTTGTCATCTTGTCGGTCCCAGCAGTGGGGAATTTGTCAGAAAACCTCTGCCCGGGGGTTTTGTCAATTCTTCTATAAGCGGTTAAGGTCGTTCCTTTTTCAATATTTCACTTAAAAACATGCCTATTTAGACAGCTTTAGATATTTCTATGAAGAATATTTTTAATAGTTATGGTTTAAAGAGATATGTGTGGTTTTCACTCCATCACTTCCTTATCCCACAGTATTTTTTGCATCCGTTTAAGAAATTGCTTCCCGCCATTGTGATCAGTTCGCACATGGAGGAAAAACAAGATCAATATGTATCTTCCGAAGAGTTTAAAGGAAAAGGCACTTTCTTTGTGTGTGAATGGTTGAGGAAGGAAGACCAAGAAAAACCTTGCAAGATATTTGAAAGCTAATATTATATAAACATCCTGTTCTGTACGATCAATGCGACAATAATGTGGACAAAACGGTTCCATCATGATGAGAAAATACGCATGTTAAGCTCATCAGTTATTTGTTTATCATTCACTGTATTAAACAAAAAGATAAGGTATCAATAAAAACTCTAGTTTACAGTTCTGTTATTGATATTAATCAGATGGATGTGATTTTTTCGGCAATAAATATATCTAGCGGCTAGCTATATAGGGGTGATTTGCGTAGCGCACTTTTTGCATTTTGCTTAGATTATCAGAGATTTTCCCATGAATATGGTATTTCCAGCTTATTTTTAATACTGGAAAATACAATTTTGGTGTTGTCCCGGGGTGGCGCATTTGCACCCTATTTTTATGCCCCACCGTGCCGTGGGGTTTTTGTATGAACGCCCGGCCCCACCGTGGGGCATTTGCAGCTTTTCCAAAACAAATGACAAATGGCCGACAAATGCCCGGGTGGGGAGGGGCGGGTATGAGTACGCTTGGAATTGACTGAGCTACATATAACCAAATAAAAAATAGCCTGCGTAGCAAGCGTTTCCAATCGAGTTATTACGCGAAAGTTAGAGTGGAAGCAAAAAAAGGTTGAAGGGGGAGGGGGAGGGGAGAAGAGGAAACGCTTGCCCGCAAACCCCACAATTCTGGAAAACGCCCCTTGATATTTCATGGTTCGGTTCATTTGTAAATTGACAGCTCGTCAAAATAGAAACATAACGAACAGATTATCCCTGGATTACCAGATTTGTAAAATTACTTTGTTCTCTAATAGAACACGTTGCAGGTGATTGCAAGAACTGTAATAAAAGAGATTTACGATAAAAGAAAGTTAAAACTATGAGCGATTGCTGCAGAATTTCTTGTTTTTTATTGTGTGGCTTTATCTCCCCTGAAACCTTATTGACACGTCAAAAATGATCTGTCCGCAACAATTCACTCCGCCGGGTATAAGTTTTGCAGAGCGGCTGCTCTTCAGCCTGTGTCGAAACGTTCTCTACATTAGATGCCGCTAAATTTCCAATAAACAAAAAGAATCTTTTCATTTCAAAAAGCTGACAAGTCGCTTGTCCATGGCGGCTTCAGCTAATGTCGATCAGTATCGATGTTGTGATTCATGTTGATGTTATCTCCAACAAACAGTCCATTTTTTCCAGTCAGATCCGCACGCCGTCATTCTCAATAAATTGGCCTTCCCTAGTCAGCCTAGTCTCCACTGCTCGCTCTCCAATTATACTTTGAAGACTCTGATCTCATAAACTTCACACAAACACGATTCCAATAAATATCAGTCCAAAACATTTGTAATCTGCGACCACAAATCAGATGAGACCAGATCTGTGACGCACGAAAACAAAGCATACCTGGTTTGATTGATGTTTCGAATGCAAAGTAATCAACACTACCCGCACCGCGCCAATCAGAAGCTGCGTTCGTGGGCGAACGCAGTTTTTCAAAATCGTGGGGTTTGCGGGCAAACGGTTCCTTCATTCTCTTCCCCCTCCCCCGTCATTCATTTTTTTTTGGCTCTTGTCCCAGCTTTCTAGACGAACCTCACGAGGAAACGCTCGCTACGCAGGCTAAATAAAAAATAAACATTTCTTCAGTTCAAAACAAGCCACATTAATTACCTCTGCCAGGATATCGTGAAGCTCTCCTTCTGTAGGGCAACACTTCAAGGATCTTACAATGGTTCCAACTTCCCTAAACCACAACCACAAATTACGGTATTTTATGAACAACTAAAGAGAACTTTCCCAGCACAGCTGTTGGAAGATGAAACCTCAGCAGAAACTTTACCGTACCTAACATCAACAGTCTTGTTAGATTCGTGGTCAAATATGTCAAAAGCATCTGCAATCGTCTTTTGCAATTCAGCAGCAGAAGAATCAGATGATTCAGCCGCCGGTTTCTCGGGTTCACTGCTTGGATTTGGTGAACTTGTGTCCGCCATTTTGATTTCTTCCTTGGTTGCCAAGATACCGTAGATTGAGCCCGCGCTTAGTTTAGTGGGACCTGGTTATCGCAAAAGATCGCAAAATGAATGCGCGATACATTAGAAATCGGTTTGCGCTTTTGCGCAGGACAGTCAATGTAAATACTGCTGAAAATTAGCGCTTACAAAATGGTTAGTGGTAAATGATTTCACCGTCTGTGAATTTTTTCTGTAATCCTTTGCTTCATGATATTTATTTTCTTGTTTAAGGGAGACCTCTTGAAGGAATTGCCTTCGTTTAACAGGAGTAACTTTTCAAAATACTGTGCCGATGCAGGTACCAAAGTTTCGGTAGGTTGAAAATTAACCCATTTCGTCTTTGGATTTGATAAAATTATCCTTCTTAATTTGGCTCTTTATCTCTCTTTATCTCTACTAAGTGTCGCATCTAGGCATTGATTTGATACGTGCATAGAAAATTTTCAGAAATCATCACTTTTGCCAACAAAGACACGTTTTAAAACTTATATTCCTGGCGTATAAGAACGTAATTACTTAAGCTTAACTTCTTCTCCCTGTCCAAGTGCCTTTTATAACTCGTTATTTTGTTTAACATCCGTATTATTAGCGGAAAGTTAACCTGGAGTATGTAGATCGATTTTTGTCCTCCGGAATGTTCTTGTGAATTTTTTTTCTCGAGATCGTAGGAAGTTTGTCTGTCCAGCTATCACGTTTGCACAAGAAATGTGCTTTATGCATAAATTTAACTTATTATTCATTAAAAATATTGCCCCGATTCTGATTGGTTAAAAGCACACGTATAATTCATCATAACCAGCTACTGATGACCAAATTTGGAAGAATTTAGCGTTTAATGAACCAATGACGTCAAAAGTGCAGCCGTCTTGTTAATGCACCGTTAACCGAGAAGACCTGGGAACGAGGTTGAGTTGTTTTGGTTGTAAAAACAAAAAATGGCAGACATTTCACTCGTTTCAAAAGTAAGACCTAGGCAAAATAATAGCTAAAAACATGGCAAGAACAGCAAGAAGAAAACTTTAAGGGTGACATCTGCTATTTGGAGAATACTTGCGGAGCTGAACAACCCTAACCATGCACCAGCGAAGATGAACTTAATATCGATGGAGGTAAGCATGTTTTAGCAATGTTTTTAAACTAGGAATTATTTTGAATGAATAATAAAACAATTATTGAATTCGGCTTTCGTATCATATGAAGAATTATGGAGATCTCGGAGGATAACACCCTCGTTTTCCATAATTCTTCATAAGATACTCAGCCTCATTGTTAATTAATTTGCTTTTTTGTGTGTGTTGGCAGAATCGCAGACCCGTTGTCTATCTGCCAACAAAAGACGACGGAACGTCTGAACAAGGTAATTATTCATTATAAGTAAAAAGAACTTTTTATGTTACAAAAAGCTCAGATTTATACTGTAAGTAATCCAGACAAACAGGCTTAGTTTAAGCAAAACAAAACTTTTTTGTGTTTGCATATCCTGATATAAACAAAAGAGGGTGTTGGAAGAATTTGCTATGCAAACACAAGAGGAAGTCCAGGGCTTGCTTAACTTTCAAGAGCAGCCCCTAAAATGCTTACATCAGGCTCTGCAAAAAAAGCAAAAAATTCTCTATTGCTTTTACAAAGTAACTTTCCCAAGAAAAAGAAGCAAAACTCTTTGTTGCAAATAACATTATGATAGCCTGCGTGGCAGACATTAAAAGAGGTTGAGGATCAGGAGGAAGGAAAAGGGGAGGCCTGCTATAACAACCCCCTTTGAGTTTATTTCTGCGGCTGCTGGCCACTGAAAATTTCTGATTGGCTGAGCTATAAATATGAGTATCTTAGTCGCCATGCATTAAGTGAGAATCAACGTTGATACAGGTATCAAAGCAAACATGATCCACTGACCTAAGCACAAGCACATAACCCCAAAATGTCTTAATTCTCCTTATCTGCTTAGAACCATGCCGAAGGTTTTTATACAGCCAATCAGGACCTTGGAATTTTTTGCCCAAATATGGAATCAAAGAATTAAATGCATCTCTGTCTCTGTTCTTCAGTTGCTGTGCTTAGCAAACCTCTCAATGACATCCATAACTCAAATAGTACACCCTGAGCCTTTTGCAATGTTTAATTATTGACAAAGAAATGTTTCCATTTGCTTACTGGTAGTAGGGCATTGGAAAGTGTGTTGTCATGCGCGTGCACTGTGACAAGTACAAAATCATTTTTTGCAAAGACTCTTTGAAAAAAATCTTTTCATTCAATAAGTAGCTTTTGGTCTCAATCGACAATGTGAGCTGTTAAACATTCCATTTTTCAACCTTTCATGTTATCATGTAAATAGTTACTATTACTGTTGGTCATTTCTCTTAATGTTAATATGAAAACCTCTGAAAAATATGAGGAAGAAAACACTGAAGTCACCTTGAAATTGACAAGTGCTGCTAGCAGCTTGCCGCTCATTTTCATAAATATATTGCACCAGGCCCATAACATAGTTACCGTTTTTGTTTGGAGGAATTCAATCTTGGCCATTTTGAGGGGAATGATGTTTTGATTTTGGTGGAATTTGGTCTCAGGAATCTGTAATTCCCTTTTCCAGCACATAGTTTACATCGCGACACACGGAAAAGTGAAAAGTGTTTGGTCACGTAGTGACAGTTGACATTTGGGAACCTGGTGGGCAGCATGCAAAAACACAAGTTTTTATGGCGGGAACTCCCTCTTCCTTTTCCCTTTTGCACTTTTTTCCCCCTCCCCTTAATTGTGCAAAACACTCAAACTACCATATTCCATCAAATAATAGCCGTCCCTCGATTAATTGTGTCCCTCAAACAGAAATATTTAAAATAATCGCCTCCCTCAAATAATCGCCCCCCCCCCCCAACCCATCTCGCCTGTCGACTTGAAGTACAGTCTGATCCAGCAGAATTGATCAGTGACAATTTATGCTCTAACGCCAAGGATATTGACATTGAAAATTACTCAAGGAACCAAATTTGGAACTCTTAAAAAGCCCATATTCAGTTTATTTGATGTGATCATTTTCTGATTTAATGGGATGATAAAACAAAACATTAATTTTAGGGCACAACTTCCAGTGACCAATATTTGAAATAATTGCCTCCCTTGAATCATAGCCTTCCCTCGAATAATTGCCCCCTTTATGAGTGAAAAAAATATTAATCACTTCCAGCTATTATTCGAGGAAATATGATTTATTTTAAAAATAAATTCTAGTCTAAAAAGGTCTCAGACTTTTTTAGTATTGTAGCGTTAGACTGTACCACACAGTCTTCATCAGGTTCTGACTCAGATTCAGACTTTTTCAAATTTAAATTTCATTTTACTTGGTAATCAATGAGCATTGTTCATGAAAAGATATATTGATGTAGTTGTTTACCTTCTCTATTGCAGCTATTGTTACTGACAAAGGAAATATTTTGTTAAGATACCTTCATCAGCAGTGGGAGGTAAAGGTAAGCAAATGTCTCAGGGCAGAACTTACCATTCCTATAGCAGGTTAATAGTGTTCAAGGAGGGGCAGGGGAGCTTGAAACAAAGTTGCTTCTCCCCAAGGTCCAAACCCTTACCCTTAATGCTTCAACAAAATTTAACTCTTTTATATCTCCTCAAAAGGCATCAGAGAAGATAAATGTTGATTAACATCCAAGTCATTTTATTTGACTCATTATTCTTGTGAATTATCTCTATAGTAAAATACTTCATTGGTTCAGCTATCAAGAAACTTTAAAGACCCCTTAGTTATATCTAACTCTTTTCTATTTCTCCAAGTACTCCTACATGGTAGCTCGTGACATGTAACTAAACACAATGAAGTAACTCAGCCAACACAGTCATCTATTGTGTTTTAAAAATGTGACCACTCCAACACAATAACCCAAAATGGTTAATATTTAAGCTCTGTCGAGGACAGCATAAAACAAAAAGACCATGAGGTTTATTTTGGCTATTTCTTTTGACAACTATAACTATAAGAATAAGTTATACTGCAACCTAGAACGCTAATGTTATTATTGTTACACTACAACTCCCCAAATGGTTAATTTTATAAGAAATGTTTCATTGATCAGTTCAGAGCAGTTGGTTTAGTTTTATTCCATGTAATGTACTGATACTTTAATTTCCATTTATTGCCAGAACACACAGTCAGGTAAAAAGCGTGACGTTGGAAGTGTGGATCTCCCAGAGTCCGCAGAGCCATCAAGAAAAGCAAAACGCCTTGATCATGAAGATTATAGCCCACCAGATTAAAGAGCTTCCAGTCTTGACAGAATTATTATGATGTATTTTTTTTCTTTTTGTTAGAAAATGACATTTTCCAGAGGGTGTGGTTTAGTGATCACCATAATTTATAATTCCATTCTTGCTTTTAACATGGACATCACATCTCTTGATTAAGATGTAATCTAAGAGTATGCATGCCTATTATTTATTTCAGTGCAGTCTTTAAGTAAAAGAAACCTTTTTAAAAGTAGGTGCAGACAAATGACTGACTATAATGGCAAGCTGTTCAAACTAGCAGTAAAGGTCTAGGCTGCTAGACAGTCAGTACTTTGTGCCTGTTTAGTGAAATGTTGCAAAAGTTGAGAAGCCAAAATCAGCCAGGGCAATTGTTAGCTTCACATAGGCCTTTCATTCCTCTCCTAGCACATGTGGAGGGACATTGAATATTTCACAGTCCTAATTAAGGCTGATTTTCACTAGCGATGGAGTCGGAGTCATAATCAGAAGCATAGAACTTTACAATCTAGTGATAACAGTGTTCTGATTCCGCTTACGACTCCGTCGTTTACAATTAAGTGAAAACTGGGTTGTCAGAGTTGCAAGCAGAAGCAGAAGAAATAAACCAATCACAAAGCGTGGGAAGGTGCATTGTGATTGTTGTGTCCTTCCGCTTCTGCTTCCTACTCCGGCAATCTGGTTTTCACTAGTTAAGATCATGAACGGAACATAAGTGACGGAGTTGTAAGAAAATGGAAATGTTCGGATTCTTCTGACTGAGTTCATCGTGCTTATGACTCCAGGCATGATTGTGATTTTGATTGTGATTGTTGATGACTAGTGTCATTTGCATCACAAGTACCATAGTTGTACCTAACACTTATTTTTGGCAAACAATGGCCATGGCAATGGCAAGGTGTATTAAATCCCTTTGATAAATGAAATTATCTGGGCCAAGATGATCAAAAGACAATTTATGCTTATTCTAGGTTACCGGTGGTTACCATGACAACTTGCTCATACTCTGTCTGCAGTTAACCCAAGATTACATCTAACTAAACTTCAACCTTCAACTTGGCCTTTTAGTGATCACAGTATCAGTGATACAGCATAATAATATTATGTAAGGCTGTTGTGACAGATTCCAGTGGAATCTCTGTTCAGTTACACAATAAACATGAATAAAGAGTTAATTTCAGATGCAATGCATCCTGGAAGAGGTGGCTTTGAAGGTAGTTGTGGCCTCTCTGCCAGGAAAGGGCAGGGTTGTTGTGTGTTGGTTAAGATTCTCATAAGATAGCCTTCACACCCCTACAATTTTACTCTGTGAATGTGGGGGCCAATCATATCCTTACAAGGGAGAAGTGGGTAGGGGAAGGAAAGGTTGTGTATGTGATTTTGATTGATGAATAGAGTGTGAGATAGTGGCATCTATCAAACAACTCATCTGGAGGCTTTATTTTATTTTAGTGATCAGATTTTTCCTTTGTGAGCGGTTGGTTGTCAGTGTTTCTTGGGGTTTTATTCGTCAAAAGGTCAATTTCTGCAATGTTTTAAGCCAGTGACAAAGTTGTTTTGAAAACTGGAATGAGAGTTGTGAATTTGCTCAATTAAGTCTAAAGTTTTTTTTCGGCTTGCATCTATTTTATTGTTGTGGTTTCACGGTTATCGTAGCCGTTTTTTTTGCGTTTCATTTTTGTTAAGATTCCTTCTCGTAATTATTCTTTCCCTTTGGGGGTTCACATTGACTTCTTAATGGGAGAATTTAAACGGTTAAGTTTGTAAGGCAAATAAACGTCAGTCATGCCACTTTAAAACGATCATTTATTGAAAAATAGCACGGGGTGTACAACAATGTAATTTATTGAAAAAAATTAAGACGATTATTATTCTAAATACCACGCGAGCGTTTAAGGGAGGTTGTATGCCCCTCCTACAGAGGGCGAACAATACCCCTACAAATGCGTTATTACAGGGTTCGTACAGATTTGTTGGACCCAAAATTCAAGACTTTTTGCCGACTTTTTTGCCAAAACAATAATTTCTTTTTCCAGACTCAAGGTTATCAAATAGGTGATCAGTAGAGACCTTAAAAGAAGCAAGGAACAAAGCTTTTTTTCGTGCTGCGCTGCAAACATGCGGGCGAGATTGAATAAGATTTGACCAAAACGAAAAAAAAAACTTGTAAAGCGCTTGTTGTAGGCAAACTCAAGACTTTTTACCATTTTTGCCAGGCTTCATCTCTATTTTCCAGAATTCAAGACTCTGTACGAACCCTGCAAAAGCGTACGAGGGAGGCTATCATTAATACGAATTCCATATAATGAAAATGCCGGAACTAATACTTAAAATTTTTAAACGATATCAAGCCCCGCCTGAACGCTCTAACCCCCATATATCGACATACAAATTCTCCAGACCGATCTCTATACATTTCCTTAGAAGCTCTTACAGAAGTAGCAGGTGATCATTTTATTGATTCCAAAAACCTTTTCTCGATTATTTATTGACATCGTTAGGAGAAAATTTATGTTCGTCACTTCTGGCAATTTAAGGTAACTAAGACCACCTTGCCTCGGTTACCTTTTTAGACCAGTTAGTAGGGACTTTAAGATCCAACGACGCGACGGCAATGAGAACGTCGCTTAAAAAGTGAATTTGCGTTCTTTCAATCTTTATCGCAATTGTTCCTACTCACTCACTTTGTCAAATATAGACGAACCCTCCTGGAGTTGAATTCCTAGGCACCATATCTAAGTACAGAAAGCGAAATAAAATTTCGTCGTTGCTTGTTTACGTCGTCCATAAAACGCGAAAATAGGCATGTTCACGTCGTAGTCGTGCAAAAACGGGGAGAGAAATGTACAAAAAGGTGTGGTGCACGTGCAAAGTTGTTGTTTTGCTAATTAAACCGATTGTTTTTTTGACGTTCTCGTTACCGTCCGCGTCGTTGGATCGTCCCTATTCACGGTCCTTGACGGTTGCATTGACAAACTTCCATCATAATATGTGAAATCTTTCTAACAAATTCATGCATGCAATAGCTAAGAGGCGTTTAATTTGCTGCGCGGGCAAAAACATTCGACGAAGACATGTACATTTTCAAGTAACCGACCGAAGCAGCTTGGTCCTGAAATCTTAGGTACTACTCACTAAGCTAAAATCAATGTTTTCTGGAAAAAGTCTTTCCATCCTGCTTTCGGGGCCCTATATACCAATTGTCCTGTAAAACAAATGGAATTTTCGCAAGAAAATTTAAATAGTAAGACGGGAAGACAACAATCTCATTTCTCGATTTTCCACTCACCCGGAGCCTCCTTCATCCTTTTGGAGCGCTTTTTGAGCTAAATACATTTTGTCCCGCTTGAGAGCTCGAGTCACGGTGCAGATGGCTCTTTCACGACTGAGTGAAATAAGCACTGCCATTGGGGACCGTTTCATTTCTGCCTTTTTTTTAATTCTGCAACTGGTGGACGCTTCTGGTTCCTTTTTCCTTGGTTAAATTTCCCCTGTCAAGGAAACAAGCCTCAAAATGTTCTCTTAAACGTCCGCTGTCATTACTTTAGGCAGCTAAAAGACAAATATTTGCACTGTCCAGCCAGATCTTTATAAATCGCACTACGTCAAATACGCCCAGCAAATTAATCTCCTCTTCGCCTCCTGTGACATAATATACTGACACACCAAACTAAATACTACTACATGCTCGCCAATCAACGAATACTTACTACAAGAACGATTCGTATTGACAGTCACAACTGAAGATGAAAAGGAAGCTAGATATCTAATTTAATCATAGTTAATTAATCATAGTTAGTCTCCTCTAATAACTATGATTTAATGTACTCTATCAAGCCTATGATGTTTTGTATTTGGTTATTTACTTTCATATTAAACTAACAAAAATTTTTCCTTTTTAAAATTATGCTTTACTATTTAGTGATAATAAGCAATAAAATAATCTATAACCTTCAAGTCTAACAATACTAATTTCAACTGTCCCAGAGAGAATCAGACATTGACTCATGTCCTATACTACATGTAAGTTGCTGTGCTCTATAGCCTACTATCAGTTTTCCTGTTTATTTCCTACTGCAAACAATGAAATTTTCTGGGACAATTTTTTTCTTTTTTCCTATTTACTCCCACTTTTTTTGTTGCTCTGGTAATTGTCGGGAGGAGGAACAATTACTTCAAAAAGCCTTTGCTCTTTGAGATTTACCGGACAATGATTATTACAATACAGGAATAAAAACATACGATTACATCCTATACATACAAATGGTTAAAAAGTACTTAACTATTAATACTAACTTCAAGTGACATTGCCACGTCGAATAAGACGTTAACTCATGTTTAAAATGACTGAAATTTTTGACTTCTCAGAAGTCTACTTAATGAGAACATTTCATTAACTGAAAAAAATATATATATTAATTTATGCACGCATAACACAACGTATACACGAAGTCCCCAGAATTGCCCGCAAACACGGAACTACAGGTGAAGATATCCTTCAATAGGTTTTTGAACATTTAAGTTAAATGAAGGCAAGTGTAACTAAACTGCGAGGAAAAGTTTAACTTTCATTAAGTATCCTAAAGCTATCCAGGCATGCATACCTGGGTCCTAAAACCCATCAACCAATAGATTACAAAACAGTTAATAGAATACAAACCCCTTTTCCACTACAAACGCGGAGAATTTTAAGCTAGAACGGCAAAAAGAAACAAACGCAACAAAACATGTTTAATGTAATTATTAGTGGCCATCTTAGGAGTTGGGGCGAACACCAGCTGGGCATATGTATTCTGTACACTGCTATCTCCATTTCAATTTCCTTTACTGTCTGGAAATAAAGGTTTTAAATTCACCGCGGCCAAAGCTCTGAGGTGTTTTTTTATACATATAAAGTATTATTTTATTAACCATGATGTGGAAAGATGTATGAAACAGTTGCACTTTCATCAAAATAACGAATTCCATTTTCTTTGGAAAATATTCCTCGCGCGAAAACAAATTTCACAACAAGCCCGCAGATTTTCCAATATTTGAAAGTTTAGTAAATCAGCAGCACATTGGTCAATAATCAGTCAAAACACAGTGAAATTGAGGGCCTTAGTGATTATTTTGCTAAGCTTTTTTTGTAAGTCTCAATCTCTTGACCGCAGTCGGGAAATAAGGTCCTATTTGCTCTAACCTAATGATGGCCAGCGAAAAAGACCCGCGAAATGGCCATAGGGATTCTGTACTGGTCATGAGATGACTGGCGGCTCTGTAGGGCTACTCCTTAGAGATGGCCGCTAATAAATTATATACATGATCTCAGCAGTACTTCTCGTCTGAACATTGTGATACTAACGCTAATTCCAGCCAGTTGTCCCAACCTAACCAACACTAACCCCAGTTACAAGAACACGCCGAACATCATGTAAGTACCTTAAAAATGAAACGAGGCGTTCATCGTCAACGAGCTCTAACATGTCTGAACTCTCCTGAAGAGGATCAATTTCCATTTGGTAAGATAACTTAACAGCAGCACGAATCTGACTATCAGGAATCGAACGCTTTTTGAGTGTGGACTTAATGCCATTAAACACAACTTGGTGAACACCAATCTTAACGTTATTTGCCTCTTGTTCAAGCAACAGTAGTGGGCAGGCTTTAATTTGGGACTCACTCGTCTTCCTAATCTCTTCTTTATCCTGGAGTTCTTCTGCCTTCTGAACGTCTTTATCCTGGAGTTCTTCAACCTTCTGAACGTAAGTGATCAACGTATGTAAATCAAACTCTTTTCGTTTGAACAAGGACAGGAAGGTGAAGACAAGCTTTATGAGATCGTTTTGGATCAGTTCTTCAACTGCTAGACGTACTACTACATCCGTGTATTTGACGATACTCGACTCGGGTGTAGAAACATCAGCAGAAACGGATTGTTCCTTGTCTGCTCTCAATGCATTGAGGATCTCTGTCCAGGCAAGATTGGGGTCTTCATTGCTCTGACAATCGTGTTTGACGCACGTCGCTGCATTCACCAAAGCAAGGGGCTGATAATCCAATTCCTTTGCCACTTTTGCAAGCACTTCTTTGTCATCAGTACCGGAGACCGCGGCCATTAAAGATACAGCATCATTGGGCTCCATTCCTTGATTTATTGAGATGTGAGACGTGAAAGTATCCTCGGGCAGTTCAGCGACGGTGTCACGGGTTGTGATTAGCATTTGTCCCGTTTTCCATAAAGCATTTCCAGCCTCTGGCAAAGGAATGCTACGGACACCGGTTACATTATCGATGACCAAAAGCCATGTCGTGTAAAGATGGATTCTTTCCTGAATCAGATTCTTTAGCCTGATTATTTTCTCTTCGGGCGTTTCTTCCTCCGATACAAGGATCTTGTTAACTTCAATTTCTGAGCATTTGATCTGTTGGGCAAATGAGGTGAATGATTCCAAAAGGCTGTCAGAACTTTCAGCATTCAGCGTCATAACAAATGCGTGGACGTCGGTGATGTTTGTAGCATCGCAGTAAAAACTCTCAGCTACCCTTCTTGCAAGCTGCGACTTGCCACTTCCAGGCATTCCTGATATGATTAGACAACTTAGGCCGCCTTCATTGTTCTTCTTTAGCTTCTTAAGTTCTTGAACAATTTTCTCTTTATCACTTTCTCGACCTATAATGTCCAGTGGAGGTTTTAATGGCAGCCGGCAAAATGAGGAAACATCTTTTTGGTCCTCGAATTCAACATCTTCCACCTGTTTTTCCAGCTGCTGTTTTTCATCGTAACTTCCCTCTGTCGGCTCAAATTGGAACGTTTGTTTCTTAAGGTCTTGGACTGGTTGTGTCGAAAGACCAAGACATTTAAAAGCGAAGTCAACTTTTTGAACGATGTCTTGAAGGTCTGCCACTGACAGGCTAGCCCGTGAGCTGTTCATTGTCTCATTGCGAACGTTTCTCAGAACATCCACTTGTGACCTAACAGCTGGACTTAACGAAGAGCCAATACTGTCGGAATACATAATGGCATAACAGAGTATGGTGACGTCCCATTCTTCAGTATTGCCGTTCGTCATTGTAGCTAGCAGATGGGCACGCGTTTTACGGCTCCCTTTATATTCCATCGAGTAGAAGTCTTCTCCATTTTTAGGTATATCCATCCATTCTCCAAGCGTTTCCTCAAAGCGAAAATCCCATTCCCTTTTAAACAACATTCTCAGTCCCTTGGTCACAACATCAGAGACGAGGTAACACATCTTGAAGAAGTTGAGTTGTTCCCTTGAACATTCTGTGGAGAAAAACGAAGAACATTAGGATATTTCGCAATTAATGGACTAGGCTTTCGTATGATATAACAAATTATTCAAATCGAGGAAGCCCAGACGGACAGCGCCCTCCTTGCATCGCATAATGCTTCATATAATACGAAAGCAGAGTTAAAAAGAAAAGGCAAAACGCTAGCTGGTTATAACAATAACTAGGGGTAATTATAGATTAAAGAGTGCGTTCGATATGCGAAGTGAGTTATTTCCGGGCAGACCATAGATTTTTACAGGCTTCTACGGGTAAGTGCTCAGGGAGAAAAAAAGGTGATGATGATGGCAATGATTAACATATTGTTAAAAAACAGTTTTATTGTGAAAAGGTTGATATAGAACCGGCAATATGTGTTGCATAATTATATTGCGCACCAGTTAACAACAAAATGAAATTAGTTGTTAGTTGACCCAAGTGTTAGTTTCTTCAGCTGCAGGATTTAGATTTATTGGCAATAATCGGATAATTTCATTTGTAGTAATAAAATATAAGAAGATTTTTACTCATGCAGCGACGAAAACAAAAATCCGACAGAAAAGCGTGCATCGTGTATGTGCAGAGTAATGTTTTGCTCGTTCAAAACTTGCAGCAATGCTTGAATTTGTTTGACTTTGCTTAAGCTCTCTAATGAAGTCAATCGGAAGGACATAAGCTTCCTTTTTAGCTTTCTAAATCATTACTTAAAAAAACATAAAGTGCAGTGCTACCGGGAAAGCCTCGAACAATAATTATTTAACTTGAACGCTGCATGCGGTTTTTATGTGACTCAAAGTTGAAAGATCCACACTACAATTCATGAAACTTAATTTGTTAAAATAACTAAACGAAAGTCGAAAGTCGAAGGAACATTACTTGTACGCTGTGTACACCAAAAATTTGCTCAATTAACGCACTTAATCGCATATGCCTGAATTCGAATTATATCCAAGTAATTTAAGACGCCATAAAAAAACAAACAAACAAACAAAAGTAACAGAACAAAATTCACCTATGTTCGCGTTAAAACTTGATTTTCTCGCCTTCGCTAGCATCAGGAAAACCTTGAATCGAGCTTAAAAGGCTTAAAAGGCAAACAGATCAAGAAACATTCTGAAAGTTTCCATTGTGTGTTACAAGTCACGTGGACCAACAGTCATCTCGTATTGGTCGAAAAATGAGTCATGTGTTTTGTATCGTTCGTACCCAAGACAGCTACGTTCTTTCAAGAGGCCAGGGTATTTGAAAGTCCGTCGCTAAAAATCTCGATTTTTTCTGGCTACTAATTTAGGATGGCGTTCTGCGAACGCAATAATAATTTAATCAGGTATTCATAAAAATGATCAAATGCGCATTAGTATAAGTAATAGCATGATTTGTAGTGATATTTGGCATAAATACCACGAGTGGTATTTCGAAATTGTTATACGTAATTTCACGAGCCGTTAGGCGAGTGAAATTTGACACAATTTTGAAATATCACGAGTGGTATTTAAGCCAAATACCACGTACAAATCATGCTATTATTTGTCTATACTACTACCCGCAAAGGTTTTGTAATTTTCACATGTAGGTATTTCAAATTAAGCTGAAATACCACAGCTCTAAGCCGATCAAATTGCAGAAAATTCTCATGTAGTAGTATAACATTAGTAATAAAAGCATGAAAAAAAACAACAACAACAACAACAAACCTCTTTAAAATAAGCAAAACAATAAAAATTCATTCAACCATAAGCAAACTTAAAAAGATACGTTATAAGATTGCTCTTAAAGAATTAGTCGTTAGATTTAAGTCAATCAGAAGAGAAATAGTAATGAACATTATGCAAAAGAAAGTGCCCATTCGGAGATTCGGGACGTATAATACACAGCCCTAAATCACTGTTTTTACTCTGTTCCTTAGCTATAGCCTTTTGGAAGAATTGGTGAACCAAGAAATTACTAATCTTGTTACAAAATAAAACTGCAACTTTCTTTGTAAATTATGGTAAAGAACATAAATCACAAAATACTGTAAACGGTTTTACATTGCACTGATTATATCAAAAAAGAAAAATGAACCTCCTAATAATAATTTCATTCCTAACAGTGGCCAATATAAAAATTTGAGAAAAATTCGAAATTTGATTTTGTAAAGTCATAAAAACCTTAAGTACTGTATGCAAGTAGTGCTTCAGTTAATTTACATGGCCACACCAAACGATTTTATCCACAGACTCAGAAGTTAGAACAACACATTCTCCCTCCTCTCCATACTGACTGCACTATTGAGGGCTCTATGAAAGCTCAAACAACTTTTACCTGCAAGGAACTCTTCTACCACGAGACTTAGCGGAAGAGTAGAGAGACCGAGTGACTGAAAAGCACGACGGACTCTGTTCCAGAGAGAAAAGAAGTCTGAATCTGAGACCCGGGCCTGGGCAGTATGAGCAAATTCGTTGCGAAGAATTCTGAGATCATCCACTGCTGAACGGACTTCTGCACTAATTCCGCGTCCAAGACTGTCTGAGTAAAGGATAGCATATAGAAGAGCATGACAGAATCCCATTCTTCAGTATTGCCGTTTATCATTGTAGCTAGCAGACGGGCACGCACGTGTTGGTTTCTTGGAGATTCCATCGAGCAGAAGTCTCTTCCATTTGTAGGTTTATCCATCCAATCTCCAAGCGTTTTCTTATATCGAATATCCCACTCCCTTTTAAAGAATATTCTCAGCCCCTTGGCCACAACATCAAATACAATGAAACACATCCTGAGGTAGTTAAGCTGCTCTGGTGAATATTCTGTGGAGAAATAACGATGGGCATTAGGATATTGATATAAATGAGCATGTGTTACGAAGTCAATGCTGTCAGTTTTATTTTTGGGTTGTGGTACTTTTAAGGTTTTTCCTATGTTTAGGGCACCAGAACGATTATTTTGTGGTACGTGCTAGTTTCTTAAGCCCCGTGCAAACTGACGCAACATTGTTGCCCAACAACTCCCAACATTGTTGGATGTTACATGTTGCGTCCGTTTGCACACCCTGTTGTATGTTGTTGGATGTTGTTGCCTGTTGTTGCGCAAAGTTTGAAACCGGTCAAACTTTTCAGCCAACAACTCCCAACATTTCTTTTGTTCCGTGATCGCCGAAGCGTAGCGCAACAATGTTGGATCCGTTTGCACAGCTCTTCCAACATTGTTGGGGTCACGCACGCTCATTACGAATGGATTACAAAGACTTATGAGTTGTATTCTCCCCACGATGCACTGCAGGTCCTAACATTGTTGGGAGTTGTTGCATCCGTTTGCACACCATTGCCAACACGCACGCAGCAACTCCCAACATTGTTGGCGCAACAATGTTGGGAGTTGTTGCGCCCGTTTGCACGCAGCCTTAGTAAACAGTTCATAGTCTAAGGAAATTCAATGTATAGCCCACACGTTTAGTTCCTGAGTTTTTTCGTAGTATCGTCAGTATTTGAAGGATTTATTATACTTAATTGTAGTTCTTTGAAGTAGGCATGTTCGGGGACAAAAGCTGACCTTGAGTTTTAATAACACTGAAGTTCCTGTTTTGTATACTTGGTCCTAGCGCGAAGTTTTAGCGCTAGCATTTAATTGGTTCTTTGGTACTTTCCAATTACTACATGTAGACTATTCTATTCTTCCCTAGTAAAGCGACAGGATATCCAATGGAAAGTTCTCACGGTCAGCAAACCCAAACACGTCTACAGTTTTGTTATTTAACTCGTTGGTGATGGGTTTGCTAGTAGTAGAAGCATTGTAGAAGTAAAGAAGCTGTTGACGCCGCAGGAAGAATAAAAGTTTTCGAAGTAAAAGAATAGAGTCTTGGTACCTCCGTTAATTGGCCAAGCGAGCTAAACGTCCCCCAACAATATTAATTAGCACGTTTAATAAGCATTAGTGGGCTCACCCAAAGTAAAAAATATAGGAATATCATACGACAGCCGGGGGGCACTTCCAAGTAGTAGGCTAATGGAGATGTGCCGCTGGATGGGGTCACATTTTCACTATTGGATTGACTATAATGGGGTTGCATTTTCCATAGAGTTACTAGAACATGTGGAATGGGGTCACAAGGACGGGGTAAGAAAAAAGTGACCCAGAAAAGTGCTAAGTCGGATTAAATTCCTAAAGTACATTATGGGTTCTTCGTATTTACTAAAACTTACAATACCCTCACCTCTAAGGCTCTTCCAAAATAAACAAGTTTATAACCAGAAAGCAAAAGTAAGAAAATAAATTAAACATAAATCCCATGAGATAAATACAATGATATTTCATACTTCTTACTGTTGCGGATGGTAGACCGTGGCTTTATGGTAGACCGTCAGAAAATAGAAACTAACATAGCACACAACTATTTCTGCTCTCTAAAAATGGACTTCAATAACCATCTCATTTTAACTGTAGTAAATGAAAAAAGGTGAACGGCTTTACTTTTATAACGGGTCTTTAAAAATAAGTCTCTCGGTACACCAATTACACCATTTGTACGTCAACTTTCACAAATGTGTTAGCATAGCATTTGAGCATTTTGACTTCAAACTGCAGATAAAAAACTATAGAGCTAAGAGGTTTAATGTGTTTACAATTTCCATAGAAACTGAAACACTATGCGGGTGTTTCGTACGTCCATAATGTCCATGATATTGTGCGTAAGAAAAGCGATAATTCTGAACGCCATAGCCCTAACAAGCAGAGTCTATTACGCCCTGGTCGTTGATTGTCATTTCATCTATATACTTTTTTCTAGTCAAAAGAAATTTGCCAAAAAGGTAATTGTGGTCATCGGCGTGCCACATGGCATGAAAGTGAAGTGTGACCTGTTGGGTCAGAAACATAAGCGTAACCTGTTGCGTCGAAAAAACTTTTTCGTTACGCAAGAAGGCACGCTTTATTTTCTCTTCGACGCTGGTCATGGGCGTGCTATATGCTGTGAAGGTGAAGTCAAACTCAATGCGTCAGTTAAATAAGCGTCACCTTGTGCATCGAAGATTTTTTCCTCCACGCAAGAAATCACTTTATTTTCTCCGACAAAACGGGTAAGTTTCACGCTTATATGACATAGCAAGTCGGTAAAATTTACATTTTTTGTAAAAATGCCGTTCTAAACATATACCGATATCTCAAAAGCTTTAACTTTTAATTGTAACTTTTTTACTTTTCCTTCCCGCCTCGATTAGCTATAGCCTACTTTTTGTTGGAAGAACAACATGAAAATTTTCTAACGGCGGTGACAACATGAGAAATGTTAGCGGCCATCAATGCAAGGTGAAAATAAGCGGCAGTGAAAAAAAAAAAGGTGAACGAGAACACGTACGACATTTCCTCCAAAAAACGTGTGAGTAAAGACCTGTTTACATGGAGGGGGGGGACCCCAGTTAGGTGGGGTAACTGAGGACGAGAAAACAAGAAAAAAAAATGTGTGGGGGGGGGGGTGCCTGTCAAAAGTCGAAGAGTGTGAACCGCATCCTTCAGTAACCAGTAACTGGACCCGGGTCCCCAGGGGATTTTCGTCAGACAAATTATTACAAGTCCAGTCCGCTAAGAAATTTGTTGTCATTCTAACATTCCGACATGGAGACAAGCGAGCGCACTGTAAAGCCTTATCCACATTTGCGACATAACGACATAAGTATAAATAACGACATAACAAAGTCGTTATGTCGTTATGTTTGTAGCTGTGAAGACTCACGACACAAGGAATAGACTGATCTTTTCTTTGTGATATGTTTATGTCGTTCCGTTTTTATGCTCGGGTTATGCAAGGTTAAAACAAGTGTGAAAACCTTCGACATAACGACATAACAAAGAATCAATCAGAGAGTCTCAAATACTATAGAACTAAGTCTCCCTCAGGCACAATTTTCAATATGGCGCCCTCAAGTGAGGGTGTGGATGGCGCCCTCAAGTGAGGGTGTGGATATGCAAATGTGGAAGTTCACGCAGATATTAACGAATTACTCGCCGACACAGTGCGGAAATACCCCGTTTTATATGAAAAAATATTAAGAGAATTTAAGGACCGTAAAATGAAAAATGATGCTTGGAAAAACGTTGCTGAAAACCTATCTTGAGAGAAGGGACGGACCCATTGTTTTCTTGTCGAGGATTTCTTGTTTTAAAGCCTTCGTTGACGTCATCTTTTCAGTAAAATAAACAAAATAAAGGCAAACACGACAATGAGATTCTCCTCCCCCACTTTTTCTTTGGCTCACGGTAATGTCGTTATGTCGATGTTCACATTAGCGGCATAAGCTTCTTATGTTACTATGTCGTTATGTCATTATGTCGCAAGTGTGAACAAGGCTTAATACAGCCCAAATACAGGGGTTTGGGTCCCAACTGTCTTGGCTAAAACTTTAAAAAATTCATCTCTCTCTCAACATACTATGTGCATGTAGAAGGGAGATGAAGAGAGAACATAATGCAAACAAATGCCGGAGAAAAGCAATGACATTCGTTTGGGTCAGTCTTTATAAAGGCGTCATGTTTAAAACTTTGCACCAAAACCTGGCTTGTTCCAGGATGGCTCGCCTCATGTAATACCGGAATGAAATTCACCTCCATTAAAAAACCGCGGTAAATTAGCAAAGCGGGCCCACCCGGATGTCAATGCCCAATTAATTAATTAATCAATTAATTATTCAGTACGAAAGGGAATCCGAGTTACTTTTGATCATTGATTTAATTGCTTATATTCTGCTATCTTTTGATCCAAGATTTCAACGTCTTGGACGAATTGTTAGTAAGTACGACGATGTTACACCCAAAACGGTATAAGAAATACGACAAAATAAAACACTCACCGGATGCAGCTGCACCTGCAGGTATTTCACCCTTCAAATCCTTATCCTGCGTATCCCCTCCTTCCAAGGAAGGTATAATAGCAACATCTTGTATTCCTGGATCTAGAATTTTCAAAGAAACATGAACACATTTATCTAGACTGTCCTTCTTGTGACACATGTCTATCAAACGCTTTCCAACAAATACAGCAATAAAATACACATAATAAATGGGGAAATTTGGCAACAATAATTCATTCTTTTCTGCCAAGGGTTTGAACAGTGGTGAAAGCGTAGAAAAGTTCAAACAGGGCTTGAAAAATTTCGCAAATCCGTACAGATTGTTTACTACAATGTTATTACAGATAGAAAGCACCGATGATTGGTCAAAGAAGAAAAATGAATTACGAAAGAATTCGTCTTCCCCCAATCCCCCCCCCCGTTTCAATACCAATGCAAGGTTTGAAATTTATCTGCAATATATTTGACTTCTAACAAACAGCATATTTTTAACCTCATAGAGGTTATTTGCCAAACACAAAACTTAATAACGGAAGCACCTTCACTTCATTGCTTCAAACAACATAGAGCGGGGTGGGGGTGCGGTATTCATCAGTTGTCGAATATCTATCAATTGATTGTTTACAAATGTTACTGACATTTTTCACATCAATAATTTCAAAGTGATCTCTTTGTTAAAGACCGTTAAACGATGCTAGTTTCCAAACCTAATGAGAGAAAAATGAGAGAGGTA